CCAGAGAACATTTTGACTTTTGTACTGATTTTGCTGCTCTGTCGATCTACACCGAAAAGAATTTTCACAGAACAAATGTTTTTTCCAAAAATGTGTAAACTTTGGAACTCGAGATATTTCGAAGGCTAAAGTAGCGTTTTCAACACAGTCCGAAAAATTGCCGCTTTTCCGAACAGATGACGGAAAATAATAGTTCTACTATACCTCCTTCAACGGTGAGTCTGAACATGCAATTTTTCTTGAAACCAGAGAACATTTTGACTTTTGTACTGACTTCTCTGTCAGTTTTTGGTCAAAAAGGTACTTATGTCGGCTGCCACATGGTCGAAGATGTTTTGTAAAGTGATCTACGATGGTTTTTCGATGTTAACTGTTTACAAAAGTTAATGTCAGCTTTGCAACTGGATAATTCAACAGTGGCTGCTTCATCAGTCGGTCTTCTGAACTCAACTTCCGTTGATATATGCGACAGTTCACCATTCTTGTGACCAAAGTGTGGGATGGTACCTCCAAAAATATTATACACTTTCGTCACGCATGACGAAAGTTCTTTTTTCTGTATGACGAAAATTAACGCGACGGAAGTGCTATCACCCTTTTTAAACGGGTTTTGTGCGTTAAAAAATAGCCTTTAAAAGGCAACAGAAGACTTTTGGCAAGCGTTTGAAACCCATCAAAAGCATTTAGAAAGGTCGAAAAACGCTATTAGCGATCTTTTATCAGAAAAAACGCAATAAACACGTTTAAAAAATGGTCCCATTGTTTCAGCGGTTTCTGCTGAATAAAGCTCTTTCAATGGGTAATATGTACCTGGTATTGGAAATAATCTCTCTTTTCCTATGTTCCCATCATAAACCATTGCCGGTTGAATACAGGTCAGTGTCGGCTGAAAATTACACGTTCCGTTGTTGTTGTACGCGCGATCCTTTCTGTCATAGACATACTCATACTAGTGATCATACCGTGGATAGTCGGTTGGAATGGATTCTGTCTGAAAATTTGAGAGTAGTAGCATCAGTTCTAGTGTCCTATTATTGATCAAACTGAGTGTACTTGCAAATGAGCTAGCTGTGCTCAGGACAAACTGAGTAATTAACTGTTGAGTTTTTACTTGAAATGTTTCTTCACCAAGCAAATTTCTCGTAATAAACGTTGTTAAGTTAAACGTGGGTAGTTCAGTGTCAATTGTCTGTTGAGAGAGTTGACAAAGTGAACGGAGAATCTGCAGGAATGGAGATGCAATGTGACGAAAATCATCCGTAAGCAGACGATGCATTGGTATGTCTGCAAATGGACGTGAGATGTCTGTCAGAAGTCAAATTCATTATCAATTTGCAGCCACTCGTCCGAGGAAATAAACGAACTTTGACACAGCGAATGGAATTCAGGTTGAAATGTTATAAAATGCTTGCGTTCAACAGCAATTGTTTTACAGGAACAGACAGAAAGAAAGCAGTGGGAATGTTTTGCGCGGATGTCCGCGTTTCCCAGAACTTCTCAACTAGCCGGATATACCATCCAAATTCAATGTATTTTCAGTATTATCACCGTGGGCTCGTCTAACTTCGCGTGCAATTCTAACTTCTTCGATAAAATTCATTTCGTGAACAAAATCAACCAATTTATATCTAAGATCTTGTTGATCAACAGTTCGATCTTCATCTAAAAACACAACAGAAAGTCAGGTCCATCATTTGCTCGAATATGGAACTGCTCAGAAAATAATGCTATCCAGCGCTTTTGATTCAACATGTTTGTTCAGCATTTTGAAGATCATCACTATTTTCATGTCTGAGATTCGTTGTTGAACGACTGATTAATACAACAGAAGTATTTTCTTTGACTTCTGTACGGTCCGGTTGTTCAACATCCATTTCGTGAATGTCGTGACCTGAATAACAAAAAGAAACGTGGTTAAAGTGACTATGAGCATAGCAGTATCACTTCGAAAAACATATCAGCACCCTAATTACTTTACAAAATTAAGTAATATAAATACTTTTCCTTGTAAAAGAGCCTGCCTAAATCACCTGAGATAATCACCTGAGTCCGAAACTTCTCCCTGCAACATTGGGTTACAGGTGACAGTTTCTCTTTAAAAACCTGTCAGTCTGCTGCTGTGCTGAAGGGCCGTCGTCCTTCTCTTTCAGAACGACCACAATTGGACAGTAAAAAAGAGCAGATTTTGCTTGGTTTAAATATATATGTGTTTTCTCAAAATCAACATTCCTGAAGGGTAGAATTTAACACATTTTCTGCTTCAGCATTTAATAATCCATTATGGGTACATTCATTACCACTACGATTTTTAATACAAATAGCACCTTGTGCAGGATTATCAAATTGATCAAATACAGTTATTGTGGTACTATCAAGGCGCAAAAGAGGGAAACGCACAGTTGCTCACGGGGACAGTTGCTCATGGACACCTCCTCACGTGGACAGTTCCTCATATGTACCTTTGCTCACACGGACAGTTGCTGTTGAATATTGATATAGTGTGATACAAAAAAACAAATTTATTTAGTAATGATGAGTGAAAGTAGTAATGTGAAAGTAAGTAATGAATTTAAAGTTTTGACAACAATTATAAAGATATTAAACGTCCTATTGCCTCAAGCCGTTCATAAACAGAAGGATGTGGCTTTTCTACTAAGTTATGAAGTCGTTTATGAATTGATATGTATTGTTTTTATGTTGTTGTGCTTGACTAGATTTTGCTTTGATTATATCTGTATGAAGCATATTTTCTTCTTCTATAAGCTTTTCCAAAAAAGTCCATAAATTTGGATGATTACATAGAAAAGCTGAATTCATTTTTCGATGCCAAGCTTCGACATTATTATTTGTTTTATGTCTATTATTTAATACTCGATTACGCATATTCCAGAAGTCAATATTGAAAAGAGGTTGTCTTCTGATTGCACCTCGCATTCGTCCTAAAAAGAATTAAAACGAAACAGCTTGTAAAAGACGGGTAATCCTAGAAGAAATCGGCTACTTCAGCAAGACTTACTAATATATGTATCTGCCATATAATCGAGAATATCCTGATAAGTATCATCTAAACGTGCACACATTGTTTCGAAAACCCAGAGAAGAACATCTCAGAAAATTCTGGACAAAAATGCATCGATTTTCTTTTTCGATGTTCTATCTGTGGTATAAATTAGAACACGATCCAACATCGGCTTCGCTAGTTTCCAAGAAGGTAAAAAAAGAGTGGGGGTACCCTTAATTTCATAATGAAGAAGAAACATGTTTACTATAAGCTATCCATCAATCGACAGAGAACTTAAAGTACTATTGGAATAAGTACAAAACTTATTTGTAGAAGGATTTAGTACGAAAAGTTTTAAGAAATACTTTGACATTAGTGGAAAGGCGATGTCATTGTTTGCAATGTTGCTCAATTTTTGAAACGATAGAAGAATTTCTATACTTCAAGTCTTTTATGAAATGATAGCATTTCTTAGCAACTTTTCAGAATATATAGTTTATTGCGTGAGTTCCATGCAAACTTGCAGAAAAATGGTTGAAATTGGTGAATAACGCAGCAGCAAATTCACTCGATTTGTCTTGTTGATCTCTATCAAATGGCATACGATAAAGTTAAGTTTAGTACACCGTTTTTTCGTAGAAATTTTATTTTCCGATGAAGTACAACTCTGTATGTAATTCGAGCAGCGATACTTTATTATCTTGAACGTGATCAAACGCAGAACTAAGTGCTGGAATCTGCAATGCAAAAAATTGTTTTTTGTTTGGTATGGAGATAGCTAGCCGTGACAAAACGAAAAAGTATTCATGTCAATGCTTTTCTAGAAAATATAACTTTCATATCTTTTTGATAATTGATTTCCTTCTTTTGAATCTTGTATGTTAAAAGAAATTGTATACAACGCCAGTCAACAATATTCACGATAGTATTCAGTTAACATTATCTTAAGGTAACTTTTGAAAACTCACACTCTCTCAAAGTTCAAGCGTGAATGCTCGATGCTTTACATATGGCAAACGTAACCTTATTGGTAGAACTCATAAATGAATGAACTAAAAGGCATCAGTCTTTCTCACATTTAATTTAACATCATTTGAAATCCTATGATCGAATCAGAATTGACAAATACAGAGAAGTAGGATTTAGTTTACCTGAGAAAGAAATGTTTTTGAAAAGTAAACTTTACAGCTAATCGAATCGAGAATCAGATAGTTCAACATTATGACCACGGACTAGAAAGTGTTCATGTACAGTAGAAGAACAGCGAGCTGAACACATCAACATTGCTGTGTACTTTCTCTGTTTTGTGTTAATATGGACTTTTCCTTTTCAGACAGAGGTTATGCCGCGATGGAAGCATCATCTGGTTGACGAAAACATTAAAATTCATTTCACCATATTCTCGAAGAAAAGCCCAAGTAAAATATGGTGAAATCAAGGTATAAGTTTCTTCGGGTATGCGCTTAAGAAAAAACGTCACTAAGTCGCAGTTCCCCGCTTCAAAAACGGTGTAAAAAACGGGCCGTAATACGGTCCCAGTTAACGATGAAAAAACGACTCAAAAACGGTACGTTTCCGGTCCGTTAACGTAGACTTAACGGGACGTTAACACCTCGTTAACTTGGCCGTTTTGCACGGTCTGGGAATCTGTAACACAAATTAATGTCGTTGCCCATGACCAGTTTGTTTTCGAATCCCATAACAACGTTGTTTTTCCAAGTAGACATGCAGAAGAGAGAGTCAAAAATATTGTGAGTCATGAAAAGGTATATTTTTTTAAGCGAATATTATGTTGTGATTCTTGTATATTTATCGGGTGATCCATCGACCATTAGATAAACAACGCACAGTGAGCACCCAGGCTGTTTTTTAGCACAAAACATGCAAGTTATTTGAATAGCGGCATATATACTTTGAATTATGGCCTATCCATCCGTAAAAGATTTTTGTTTTAGGACCTTTCTTTCTATAAAAAACTCACCTGGAAAAATAGCATAAGAAACCGCCCTTCAGTTAAAAATCTCAGTTTTCTGAGCAATGATTCAAAGGGATCAAGTAACAACTCACTATAATCGAACAATGACAATAAAAGTAACACTGAAATCAGTTTACATCAACTTTTTACATTTTAGTACGTGGAATGTGACGAAAATATCGAAGTAACAGTCGTAAAAATTTGTAAAGTTTTCTAAGTTGAAACTACGGATAAAAGTAAAGACGCTGGCGAATCCAAACTTCAATGTTATGCTATAAAAAAATAAAGCAAAGTTTAACGACTGGAGAAAACACCGTTCTCTGCCTCATTACCAAGCACACTACCAACAAATAGTTATAGTAAAGAGTGAATTACCCGATGGCAAAAGAGAATCTACACGTCCAAAACCTCACAACTCGCGACTGTAGCGAAGTGTCGTCGCATCAAAAACGACGAAGGCTTGTGAGTTTAAACTCTGCTTTAGATGACTTTGCTCGCGACAGTAACCTGTCAGTTAACCAAGTTCTTGGATGGTTAATTCATCAAAGAAATTGTAACAATAATAAACACCTAGCTAAACTCGGAGATGAACTATACAAAACAGGTAAGATCGAAGAAAATATTAAAGTGAAGTTGGATTTGGATACGGCCGTTGCATTGAAAACACATATTAATCTAAGTCGAAAACATGGATTTTTTAAAAGGATTTTTACATGAAGCAATTTATGTACCAAATCGAAAAATGATATATCAATTTACTAGACAGCTGTTACCATCTTTGAAGTCATCGGGAGAAGAAAGAGAAGTCGTAGTGCAAAGTGTTAGACAAGCCACATAGTTAACTGTATCAAGACTGATCGATTTATTAGTTCAACAAGGAGTGGACTTGCCAACAAAGCTGGTGTACAGACAAAAAAACGGACACGATGAAGCCGGAAATCAGTCTCTTTATCATTCAAAAGACAATCCAATGACTGACGCTAATTTATTTTGTCGTATGTTTGTTCCTCTGTCACCTGTCGATGGCACAACAAAAGACAAAGTTTGGACAAACGATTCTCCAAATAGCTCTTGGTGGACTCGACCGCTAGCCATTATAGCCGAAAAAGAAAGTTCGGATCTAATCCATTTTGTGAATTCTGAGTTTGAACCACAAGAGAAAGTTTTAGAAGAAGAAAGAATCTCACCAAGTCGTCATGGTAAGACTTATGCTTTCCAAATACAAATTTTAGATTCAATGAAAGACCTCAAAATAAGACTCACGGAGAGCAAATTCAGAGGCAGCGATTGTATGATGTGCTACACGAGACAGGAAGATTGGCATAACCGTGAAAAACTTCACAATCCAGATTACTTTCGTATTACCCGTACAGTTTCAGATACGATGAAGTTGCATAAAAGTTTAGTGGGAGACGGAGGTACTATTAAAAGACAACTGTATGATTATGAACAATGTGCTGGTTTTACAAGTCAACCTATCTCACAGTGGGCAACCACATAGAAATTAGGCGAAAAAACGAAAGTGAGATTTTTGGAAATTCAGATAATGTGACATAGACAGTATTCAATGGCCGATTTAGTGGTGAAAAAATTTTGATGCACATGCTTATGATGGCGAAGAAAATAAAGTTTCAATTTTAGGGCACTGTTGCGATAGTTTCAGAAAAAGCACTTTCCAGTTTTAAGCGGCTGTATTGCAAAAAATTGAAACACATATATTCTGAAAGCTAAGTCTTTGAGCTATCGATTCATAAGAAAAAGTTTTTTATTTATGTCTTATCTGACCGCG